CTTTGCTCCTTTGAACAGATACACTGAGGATTAGTATATTTTTCTTACTTTGAGAGAAAGGAGACATGGTCACCTATTGTTATTAATGTTGTGCCCCAGCTTAAAGCCCACTGATTTTAATAGTGTCAGTGCTGAGGTGAAATGGAGCTTTAGTATGCACTAAGTCTGACTGAGAAGATGCTCTATTTTTCCCCCAAGAAAAGTAGTTTATCAACAAGACCAAATGAATGCAAAAGGTCCACTTGCAATCTCTTTCATCACTGACCACAAAATTCTTGGCTCTTGTAGGTGACAGAAACGAAGCTCTAAGTTGCACCTTCCAGACCTTTACCTCTGCATGTGCTCTTCAACAAAGACTTTGATGAAACTTCAGCACTGCTGTCTCCTTTGGTCAGGAAATAATTCTTCCCTCCTCCCATCCACATGTCTTACTCACAGTTCAGGATAATTCCCTGACCAGTTGCACTTCAGTGCAGATTTAAAGGATTAACCACACCTATCTCTGTATGGTAAACTCAGTATCTACTGGGACAAGAGTGGTAAAGAGATCCCAGGAGAATCTAATCACTGTGGCCACAGGCCCTTTTTTCTCACTTGCAGGAAGGACCTCTGACTCCAGARAGAATTCACCCCACAAGGACAAATCTTTCCATTCAAGTGCACAGTGCTCACAGGAAYTTCTTCCCATCTCGCTCTTTTCCATCTAAAATGTTACCTGAGGAAGATGTCCTTCTGTTTAAAAGGAGGCTTATGACACTGTTTCTGACAATTTTTTTAATATAGTCTCTTCCTATTTACTGCCCCTTGTCTTTTTGAGGCAAGGCATTGTCTGTACATCGTGTCTTTAGAAAAATGGACATCTGAAGTAAATACAGGAGCAGAAAGAGATGAATAGGTAATTCAGGAAGTGACTGTTGAAGTACCGAGGAAAAGGTGATTTACTGAAGTCCAGTGCTTSTAGGAAAAGAAAGTCAGAAAGACTTCTCTGAAGAAAAGACCAAAGATCTATGTATGTATTAAGGCTGATTTAATGAGTGATGTTACTTAGCTCAGAAGAATGATGGAAATAGGTATGTTAAAAAAAACAACCTAGAATCACGAGAGCTTAACTACTTGAAAACAACACTGTCTAATTTTTAGAAGGGATGACAGAATTCCTGGTTCACTGATAGTGAGGAATTTCAATTTTGCTTTTCCCCGCCCTGAGTAAAAAAAAACCAGTGAAGTGGGACTCTGAAATATTCCAATTATCTTGACCCTAATTTGCAAGGACTGGCTGTGGTTAGCTGAAGATCTCAGAGGATATCCCAACATTTTTGGCAGAAGGATATTTTTGCAAGTGTGGACCTTGGCACAATGATGTAGGAATGGTAAAGGTAGATTTGTCCAACCTTAGCAAAAATTGCCACAGGATGCTTTCTACAAAGGGAGGGATGCAGCTGTGACACAGAAAAAAAGCCCTCCTTCATCAAAGCAGCACTGCTTTTGCTCCTGATGTGATCTGCTGCCTCTGGTAACAAGCAGTCTGTATCACCACCCCTCCTTTGCAAAGCCCATTTTACAGTAGCTCCACCCGCTGTCAACAATTTTGAATTTTGTGTATGTACAGGGCAGGGGGAATATCTGATTAACCTTTGATTAACTAGAGTTGCATTGGAAAAGGATTTAAGCCAGATCAGATGCCTCTAAAGGAAACGAAAAGGATCAGCCGATGTTATCTGTCTCCACTTAAACTTGTATTTTATTACAGAACATAGCTAGAGTTGGGAGTTTTAGACCTCTAACTATTTATAATAGGATTAATAATTAATATAATGCTAGTAGTAGGATTAATAAAATGAAAAAAATAAAAGATAACTGCACAAGACTGTAAGCTATGGAATATCTAGAACTCTGATTTCCTTAAGGAGATAATACTGAAAATACTGTATTTTTTTTTATTTTAAATTTTCAAAGCAAAGAAACTCTAGCTAATCAAAGGTTATGTGAGTGACTCATAACACGAGTAAATCACAGCGACTTTTTCAATGTATCCAAAATGGCACACAAATCCATTTCAAATATTATCCAGGGGTTATTACTATATGCTGTAGTAGCTAATTCTTATTTCTCATACAGCAATTATTAGCAAAATGCTCCCAAGTTTTTAAGTGAAATTGATTTAAGTGGCTGGAAGAAGTTCTCACTTTGCAATGCTATTAATGTAGTTATCCAGTTATCAGGTACTCTCTATAACCTGAAAAGTTAGGAATTGTATATACTGTCTCAAAAAAAAAAAAAAATTCAAAAGGAAGATAGGGAAAAAGCCTAAAACAAATTGAATGAAAAAATTTTGATGGTAATTAAATAGTTTGCAAAAGACCCCCCTCCCCAACAAACAAACAAAGCAAAGAAACAGAACAAAAAAAAAAAAAATCACAAGAAAAAGAAACCCACACCTCCACAAAAAAAAGAGAGAATAAATTAACTTTTACTTTCTAACTTTATTTTAAAAAAACTTTTTTTTTTTTTTTTTTAATGACAAACTATTAGAAAATGTTACTTCAATCTTTCATCTGCTTTCTTTGACATGCATATTTCTCTACATATACTTTCACTTCTTTGTATTTGTAGACATAGCACTTCTGGATAAAAATGAATAGCCCAGGGAAGTTTTGAATATGTTGCTTGCTCAAATGTCTAAAGAATTATCCTGAACCATGAGAGAATTTTCTGGTTTTTTCAAGCATTTCCTGACTACTGTTGCAAACCACAAGTGATGAACAACTTACAAAAACYAAAAGGCTGAAAGGGCACACAAATTGTACCACACCTTCGAATTTTCTGAATTACAGAACCATTCTTAAATCTTTGCAATTGAAGGATGTAATATACCTACAAATGTCTTTTGTCCCATGTGCAACACATAACTGAATTATATTTTGAATGTTACTAATTTAATGATGTAAAACAATGGCCTTGTGCCTTACAATCAAAATGATATGCAAGTAATAATTTTATCTTTAAATATGCGCTTGCATTTTAAGATACTAAATCAGTTTTTGTATTTCACAGGTTGCTTTCAATAAGCTTAATAGAAACTTCCTATGTAGATCACAAAAATATTTCAAAATATGCCCTATTTTCAGGTTCTTGTCTTGGAAATATTTTATGCATGTCATCACAGTCACTCTTTCTTAGAATATCTAAATCTTTACTGTGCTAACTTTATTACTACCTTGATCTTTCARTGTATTACTGCTGAAATTTAATACACTGCACAAAGTTCCCAATCCAAAAGCTCTTGCTTTACATGCTCAATGTGAAGCTGTTTTGTGTAAAAAACCATGTCTGATTTTTCAAAATTCCTTTGAGGAAACCGACTGACCGAATCAAATTCTTGCCTAACAAAGACTATGATTTCAGAAACTGAAAGGGGTTGTACACATCTAAACTCAGCATAGATTTTGCCACTGACTTACATACTTCCCCTGTCAAATTCAAGTSTCATTAACACCTACCAGCTCACACCAAGAACAGGAATTTTAATTTAGATTTACCTGCTTCATATCCAGTAGTTTCAACCTACTGAAATAGAAACTTCCTAGATTGTCCTTCTTATGTGTTTTGAGCTTGTATTCTTATGTTTGCTCATCTTTTTAGTGTTTAGTGGATTTTATAAATTATAAGAGAAGACATGAGATATTTGGGGACTGCACTCTCCATCAAAACAGTGAATTTTGGCTCCTCAGTATCTTTAACACTAACTTGCTTTCATTTTATAAGACATTATACATTCCCTTTCACATCAATTTCAATGGAAAAAACGATCAGGAGCTGTGTGTGAAATGTTTAGCTCAGTTTAATTTCCTTCCTGTGTCTGCTCAATTTTTACAGCCTAATGAAAAAATATGAAACACAAGTAAAGGAAAAGAGGTGACCCAATTTTACCACCATTCCATGAACCAGAAAGGTTTTGTTATGTGACAATATGACCATCATCAAATGAGAGAGCTTTTATCCATAAGCATGAAATAACAATGTTATCCTATCACCTTAACAAATTCCATTTATATTACATTCTCCTCAGGAATCAAAAAGAGCAGTCTATAAAGAACCAACCAAAAAAGCCAAAACCAAAAAAAAACCCCACCCCTAAACCAAAGAGTTTATGGACCAGCTGCTTCTGTTTAAGCCCAACTGCTTTTGTATTGATGCAACATAGCTAGGGCATGATGTCATCTGAAGGAGCAGCAGAATATACCCTGGTTGGTCTTAAAAATATRTAGGGAAGCCTCTCCTCTCTGAGTGTGCATAATTCCCATTGATGGGGAAGGGAGTTGATCACATGCAGGAAAAGATAGGGACTAAATGACCTTCGTGGGTAGAGATGTGTAAGTTCTCCTACAGAAGCAGACAATGATTTTCTTAATATTTGCGTGTTCTCGTTACAACATAGCATCTACTTCTAAAAATAGAAGACAATAACAAACAGCCTTCTAATGCTTCTTGTTCCCTTTTGTATGAGCCTGTGAGGATGGAAATCATTCCAGTCCTTCATTATCTCTCTCCATCCATTCATTCAACATCCATCCACCCCTCGCCTCCTTCCCAGTTGTATGGTTTGATATGTGTTCATGGAGATATTTGTACTGTATATAATTTACTATACATTTAATAAAAGGTTCTCTTGTTTTAAATGTTACAGGGAGAAGAAAATAAATGTAATGAGGACTGTAGCTTATAAACAGAAGTACAATACACATGTTCACAGGCATATAGAAAGTATAATGGCTTTTATTATCTGGCCAGTCACTAAGGGGATGGCACAATATACACAATTCTGAATGCCAAGGAACAATGAAAATCTTAAAATGATAAATCTCTCTCAATGTCAAGGGAACACAATTGTCACTTGTCATTACTGTATATCTCTCTATTTCTTCATATATCCTAAACTGCCTATTCTTCCATAATTCAAGACATTTAATAATGCAGAAAATCAATTAATATTTACTGACCTGTCTCTGCTTCTCCGTGATGGGAACGCAGCATTACAGCCAGCCACTGTGCAGACATGCATCTCTTTTAAATGAACATTTCGGTAGTGAAGCTTTACACTGTAGGAGCTCTTGAAACTTTTCTTGCAAACATAGCAGATCTTGGGGTCTGGGCTGGAGCACATTTCACCTTCTGGGGAGAACTTCTGAGGGCTGCTGTAGTTGAATGTAGAAGCGAAACTTTCATGAAGAGCAGCCATACTGGCACTGCCTCCATTGTACAGTCCATATTGGCTCATATAGAACATATCATATGTAGGGTCTGTATACTCTTCCTTCACCTTAATGACATCCTGGTTGGAAGAGTCATTGTGGTTTTCATCTGGTCTGTCACTGTGCATCATAGATTTTTCACCGGGTTCATGGAGGCGATCATCGCCTTCCAGGGATTCTTCACACAATTTGGGCTCTGAAGACTCTGACTCATTTTCATAGTCTCTCTCATGCTCCTGGTCTTCTGATGTCATGCTGTCTGCCCTTCTTATGTCTGGTCTGGAAATGCATCTGGTTCTGTCACTTTTGGAAAAGTCTTTCACAGACAGGCCTGGGCTCATTTCCTCCTGAGAATGGCAGTGATTGTCATGACCAATGTCATTCACCATCGCTGTCCTGTCRTTCACCTCTTCGTCTTCATCATCAAACTCATCAGCAGTGTCGATAACTTCCTTTTCAATTTTAACTGGCATGCTTGACTTCCTTGGCTTCTTCTTGGGAGCAAGGTCTGCATTGGGCTCTGGGGTGGGCATCAACACTGAAGGTACCGATGACTCCGAAGGAGGAGGGGGATGCTGCTCCAGGCCACTCACTGCTGGTATGATAGGACTGGTAGGGAGTGAGGTTGGAGGACTCACCATCTCTCCAGGAGTAAGTAAATTTCTGTAAAATGGAGGAACAGGTTGGACAGTCTTCAAAGCTGGGAAGACCAGTTGACTGGGAAGAGGGTTCTGTAGTACCGGGTCTAGAGGGGGAGTGGTAAACCCCATCGGTGGACGCCCAGGGCTTGTYAAAGTTAGGTTGGATTTTGTACTGGCTATGACAGGAGTGGCGGCGCCTGATGTAGCACGAATTAGATCTTTGTCGCGGTTATTCCTTAGCATAGGCATGTGGAGACGGGGATTGGGGTTAGCACTGTGGCGATTGCGGCTTCTGAGAGAGCTGAAGACCATATTGCAGCCTTCAATAGTGCATCGATGCTTGATTTTCAGGTGCACAGCATTGTAGTGGATTTTAAGAGTACCTTTGTCATAGAAAGTTTTGCCGCATGCATTGCAAAACACTCTGCCTTTCCTGGAGGCTGACCCCATTCTCCTCATTCTGTGAATTCGGAACGAGCTTTTTGTGTGCTCTGTTTTTGATAAATCATTGACTGGCGTAGGCGTTTGAACAGGAGAGACACAGGCTGGCTCAGTTTTGGGCTCCACATTTGTAATGCTGGTCAAAGCATTCCTGCTGGATGCTTGCTCATTCTTGAAAGGTGTAGGGGAAACTTCAGATTCACTACTCTCATTATACTCATTTTGGGTCGTAAGGCTTGGTTCACGGAGCCTCATTGCTGGCTGTTCCAGCAGGAGGCCGTTTGGAGGCAGCCCCAGCAGTGGAGCAGAGACTGGATTTATGTACTGGAATGGAAGCAGGAATGCAAGGCTATTTGGGATGTTTTCAAAATGATGAATGCTGGAAGGGTTGCTATTCTCCAGGTGAGCAAGGAGACTTGGGCTCCTGGTGCGATTATTGCTTTCAATAAAAGTCCTTATATCTGAATCTGTCTTTGAAGATGGCACAGCCACAGCCTGCCCTTCTTTTTCTTGAATTGCCATCAGCTCCACGATAGATTTCGTTTCTCCAAATCTCAGGAACTGCTGAAGGGTAATGATCTCTTCTTCCCTGGACATGATGGCCCAGCGGTCCAGCACCTTGCCTGCAGCATCCTGGAGGCCATATCAAAGAAACAACAAAGACAAACACAAAGAAAAAACTTATTGATTCTGCATAATTATTGAAGAAGGTGCTCTGCTGCCTGAACATGAAACACTAAGCTCAAAAAACAAGATGCAAACAGTGTTATTAGAACTTGATAAAAAAATACAAACTTTCCATCCATGCAGATACTGTAATTAGTGTCACATTTAGAAAACAGGATCGAGTTTAATAATGTCAGAGTACACAAAACAGAGACCCTAGGACTCTGTGACCTAAAATGCATTCAGTACTTTTATTTTAACAACAGCCATCTATGTAGAATGCTCCTGTTCAGAGCGTATTAGTAAAACATGAACTGTTGCTGTGCACACCACTGCAAAATTCAACAAATTGTATCTTAGTCACTATTAAATGGTAACACTATTAGAATGAGCTAAATAAATGCATTTGATASATTCGCTCCTTAAATAATAACAGACATCAGACTGAAGTAATTTATAGGCCATTTCACAAGRAACTTTGATGCAAAGCAAAATGTCTTAAAAATAGCATATAACACTTGTACCTTAATCCCTTTTTTCCTGGACAATTACTGGCAATTGATTGTAAGCTTGCAATCTTGGTRTGGTTTAGACTTTAGAGATTACATTTTTGTAGCCTTGTTATAAATGACAGTTAAAAATATGTAAAAAGTAAGGATCTGATGGATGAAGATAYGATAAATGTGTAAAAATGTTGTCTCTTAACATTGCCTTCTGATAGCAAGGGAAAAGTCCAGAGAGAATACACATCAGTAATCACTAGACTATCTGTTGTTAAATATACATTAAAAAGCATTTCACACTTTCATTTTTGCTAGTAAGCATGAGATTTGCCTGAAGGTAGGACTTAAAAATTCTGCAATGTAATGTCAGGCAATCCATTCCAGCACATATTGATAAAAACATATTAAAATACTTATATAATGAATACATCATTTTATTGGCATCTTGCCTTTTGGGCAAATGCTGGACATAACATTAGCACAGTAACTATAACCAACCAGAAATGTTGAAGGCCATCAAACCAGAATTATTCCAATGCTTCCTCATGCATTAAACAGTTGGAGAGCCTGGCAAGATACACTACCATACCATCTCTGATATTTTTACATCTTGAATCTCAGGTTCAGAACTTTACCCAAAGACTTTGGATTACGAATTACTGCAAAAATCTTGTCAGTCAAACTCTTTTTGATTATGAAGCCTGAAAATACCTTTCTTCCCCTCCAACCCTTTTAGCCCCTGAATTTATTTTTTTATTTGTTAAATTAATTAATTATTTTTAGTCTTCASAGGATTGATTCTTCTCTTCCCTCACATTTCCTAGAGTATTGAAAAATATAATTTTGCAATGCAAATACTAAAGCATGTATTTAATTTGTTACATCTGGTTTTATTATTTCAGTTCTGACGTGTTCAGTTCAGTCACCTCTCTGGGTGTAAAGTTAATGCTGAAGGTTAATGCCATGTATGTTTCAGAACCTGAGATACTACTGCAAAATCTTTTGAGATGCTCCACACATGAGCATGTACAATCAAACCCTGAAATCCTCAATAGCAATTAACTTGGAAAATCTGACTCAGATGACCCAGATGGAAAGCCCCAATAGCTATCTATGTGTAGAAAATGTTCGGCCTGTATGTACACAGGGATGAACAACAAATCATGATGCAGATGCTGGTTTTGGTTTGCAGCGTGAGTCAGGAAATGTCCCCACTTTGAACACCAATAAGCACACTGGGCATCTCTCATTTCTGTGTCCTTACAGTTCTTGATGGGCAGTGTTTTATAGGCAGAAATCATCCAGAACATAAAAATTTCCTCTCTACAGGAAAAAYAAGTGAAACAAAAGCAAACTTAAGTGGGATGAGGAGTGGGAGGAAAAAACCACCAATACAATAAAAAAAAATTAAACAACAGATTAATATTTCAAAGCTCTAAGATTATATTTGGGTTTTTCCATCCAACTAACTTTAGCTACTCTCTTCTTGTGCAAGATCTAAAGTTTCTTACATCTACTTCAACAGCTTTCAGCCAGCCACAGCAGTTCCACATGGAGCTGCAAAAACAGACTTGGTTCAGATTTTGATCTCCAGGCCTTTGCTGTCACATCTGACCTGATTTATATGCACACACTTCCCATCCCAAATCAGAAATATTAATTCCTTCTAACTGTAATTCCCATAGTTTAAAGAYGGGAATAACATTGTCCAATTTACACTGCTTACATGTATTGAATTAGAATTCCTGTCTGCAGCCAACTGCAGGCTGCTTTGTAATGTACTACTGCTACATTTTATTTTGTTTTGTTTTAATTTGTAAATCATTCACAGGCTTATGCAACAGATGGATGCTTTACAAAAATGGATATGTAAGTAAATAAAAGTTAATCACAGCTAGCAGAACAATAACTCATGACAATAATAGGTACAGACTCCCACACATAAGGGGAAGGCAGTGTCACACAGTCCCTCACCTGATGGCAGCACAGCCAGCTCTCTGCATGCACAGAACAGGCAGGCGAGCATCTAAATGCAGGGCTTCCCTGTGTGATTTCAGGGACTTTCTCCACATCCTAAGTGAACGAAGCAGGCACTTAGCTGCATGAGCTAGCTCTTGATGAGACACCACCACCCGTTTTTTCATTTTGTTTAAGAATTTRCAATGAGGAGCACCAGACCTTCAGCACCTGCTAAGTCCCACTGATCAGAGAAACTGGCAGTCAAGGGTGTGATAGTTACGGGGTTACTCTCACTTTCACAGAAAGCATGGAATCAGAAAGTTATTCTTAAATAGTCCCTGTCTACCCCTGCTACAAGGAGTAGACAAGCTTGATCTTGTTAATTTTCAGCAAGAAGTTGTTTGGCTCTTTTTGCCCAGCAAAAATAAAGAGCAATTGCTCAGATGCCTATATTCCATAAAACCYTCACTGCTTATGGATACTGTCTAGCATATGCTTCAATATTTACACAGTAAAAGCTTTCCATAAATCATTGTAAGCATGTATTATGCAAAACTAGATAAAGAGAGAATAGGAATGTCATTTTTTGATAAAACTTAAAATTAACAAAAAATCTAACCATTATCCCATTTGAATTTAGCTATAACTAGCTAGGGATCTTTYTGTATATGGTAATACTTGATTAAAGGTTCAAGTCCTTTCTTACATGTAATCGATTTCTTGTTTCTTACAATCTCTCATGCTAAATTTTCTCCCCGAAGCCATTAAAGCATATCAACATTTAAATACTTCATGACAAAAGGTTCCAATTTATATTACTTTTTTCTGCTCACAACTGATTAAGCCAAGCCTCCTGTGACAATGTGTACAAGGAAGTCAATGAGTACAGAGATACCACTGCATGCATACAGCTCGAAGCCAGGCMGTAGACAAGTAAGCCCCATCTGTACAGCATACACTGATGTTCTTCTTTCTTTGTCCACACAGTCTTTTATTTTTAATGTAGTCAATTTTATTTTCTCTTGTTTTATTCATTTATTATGTTTTATTTCACTGTGTGGACCTCTCTCAAAAAATTGCAGATGGAGAAAATATTTTAATTTTTATACTATATTAAATTGACCTCCAAGGATACAAAACATAAACCTGAGCCCTTTTTCTAACTCTAAGTACACACATAAGTCTATTATTTGAATAGATACAGACCCACATATACACATACTACATTACTCTGTAATGTCATGATTAATTACGCTGAACCTGCCTCCTGATTTTTGCTGACTGTATGTTAGGAAGAGAGGTGTGTGTCAGGATATGTTAGGGTACATCTTGTCTTAAACTTCTGGGTCAAGAAGAACACGTGGTGGCATCAAGGCTTTTATCTTGGATGACACAAACAGGCTAAAACAAAAGATGGACACAAAGATCACTACTTTTTAGAACCCTAACTGGGAGGATTGCAAAGGTGAGTCTTCATTTCCTGAAGGCCTTTCACCTTTAAAGCTTTCAGTTCAGCTTTAAAACTTCCCAACGTAAAAAAAAGAAAATAAGTGCAGTGTACACAAGAATACACTGTAAACATACACTGTAAACCTTCAACTTATGAAGTTGTTTAAAACTCTGATTTTCTGGAAGAAGCTCCTTGGACTCCTGTAACTATTACATGCAGAAAATTTTATATATCTACACACACACACAGACACATTTCTGTACATATGCAACAWAGACTTTTTGCAGTTCTATTCTCTCACTGATTCACTTAGCATAGGAAAAAATTATGTATATACCTGTCTGGATACAAAGTAAGAGATTACTATACAAGGCTGAGATTAATAGAAAGTTTAAAAAATATTTAGAATGCTTCTAAAACTAGGCTTATGTTCTTGGAAGCACTCAAGGATTATTTTGAGGCACTATTGTGACAAGTTCTGAGAACGACTCAAAGTTGTACAAAAAAAAACATTGTTAGGTTTCATATTTTAGTAAGTTTGCCTATGCACCCTAAACTGTGGCTTATGATGCATATCAGCAATGTTTCCATGTTGCAAAACATTGCATAGATACATGTTTGATTAAATAATTAGGCAAGCCTAGAGTTTATCACAAATCTTCCCTCTATAAGCTCCTCTTAAAGAGCTATGTATTTTCCAGCTGATCTCGAAGAAACATTTTGAATGCAGCTGTAACAGTTGAGAAGCAGACTGAAATATATTAATTTGGTCACACTATAATTGTACAGGATGGCTTTAATTAGGGCGTAGACAGAAAAAAAATCAACATTTGTTTCTAATGAAGAAAAGCCTTCATAATTTCCATGATTTAGATTTGTTGTTTTTGTTTGGCCAGAATTTCCCAGAAGCATCTCTTTGCCTCACAGTTGGATTTCAAGCTGTTACACTACGGGTAGTCCTACTACTCGTGGGGTAAAAGCTACCAAAAGTGTGCAGCAGCACACCACCTCACATTAGTGCAGATGGGACAATGTGCAAGTTCCTGACTCATTTT